ACACACACACACACACACACACACACACACACACACACACATAGTGATGAGAAATTTAAATGATGACGGAACCTCCCCTTCAGGACCTGTTGTGACAAACACTGGACTATCGGGACCTACATTGGTACAGAAACATATGTACAACACAAGCATGCTGTGTGTGTTCCTGTAAGAAACGTCCAGTTAATTATTCCTATAATGACGCTGCCAAATAAACCGTATAACATGGCGTTCCTCATCACCTTCAACAAAATGTTCTCATAAAAGAGACCAAAGAGCCGCTCTGTAAGAACACCACTGGTTAGTAGTCAACAATCGGTACATCGTGTCGTGATCAGAATCAGTGTTTGTTTGTAGTGTCTTAAAGAAAAGTAGGAGATATCTTTGTGAGCTGAATGTTCCTTGTTTCTGACTGTAAGTGTGTGTGTGTGTGTGTGTGTGTGTTTGTATGAGTCTTTAGGGGTCCTATAAGAGGGCTTTCTGAGGGTAAGGGGTCTGTTGGTTGTCTGCAGTAGCAGGGAGGCTCTGGGTGGAGGGCACGGTGTAGCCGGGGGTCTGGCTCATGGCCACTGGAGCGCCGGCTGGGGTCTGGTAGGACTGGACATCAGCTGGAGGCATGCTGCCAGGGGTCGGGCTGTAGACTGGAGGCTGGCCCATGTACATATGGACATCACTGAGAAACAGATCAACTAATAAATCCATTTATTTAAACATAATGATACAAATATTATACTATTAATTATTATCATTATCATCACCACCAGTAATGCATTAATAATAACAATAATAATAGTTATTGTTAAATTAATTATAAAGCCTTATTTTTATTATTTTAATTTGAATATTATTATTAAATATTTTATCTAATCATACAAACATTATTATTATTATTAATGCAAACTGCTTCTTATTTTTTATTATCGTTAACTTAAAAAACTTCTTTTATTATTAATAATATCAACAAAATATTAAATATTTGATCTAATTATACTAAAACAATATTATGGCATCAATACAGCTTTTTTATTTTTTATTATTTTAAATGTAATAACATTATAATAATAAATTATTATTATTATTTAATATACAATATAATAAATCTAATTATTATTATTATTATTATTAATGCATTGCTAATATTTAATAATTTATTTAATAATAATAATGATAACAACAACATTATTATTATTAAGGAATTGATATAACTTGTTTAATTTATTATTATTATGAAATATTTGATCTAATTATACAAAAATAATATTATGGCATTAATACAGCTTTTTATTTTTAATAATGTAATAACAATATAATTATCATTACATATTCAAAAGAATAAACTTATTAATTAATGCATTGCTCTATTGATATAATTGATATAACTTTTTGATTTATTATTATTATTAAATATTTATCTAATTATACAAAAATATTATGGCATCGATACAGCCTTTTATTTTTTATTATTTTAAATATAATAATATAATAATAATAAATTATTACATATTTTATAAAATATACAAAATAATAAACTTAATAATAATAATAATAATAACAACAACATAGAAGGACCATCCGTTGGATCCATCCATCCATGACCATTGGTTGAAAGATTTGACACATTATATTGTATTGGAAAGAATAACCTTCAATATAAAAAACAAACTAAAGGACTACCATAAAATTTGGGATCTGTTTATACAGTTTCTGGAAAATAACCAAATATTGTCACAAGCAATATATACCTCTCACTCTACTGATTGATATGCGTATATATGCACTATTGTATTTGAAAATATGTGGATATGTCTGTCTTAGCCTTTGTATAACAACTTCTTTAACTTTATAATTGAATTTTTGGATGCTTTGGGGGGTGGGGAGTTAAGATATGTATATATGTATATGATGTATTTTTTATGAATATGTTCATGCTATCTTCTATGTCTTTTTTACAATAGAAATATATTATTTTTAAGGAATTGATAACTTGTTTGATTTATTATTATTATCATCATCAGTATTATTATTATCAATGAACTGATACAACTACAAAACAAGTGTTTTATTCATTATCAATAATTTAAGTAATGAATTGCTTATAATAAATTATATTTTTATTAATTCATTGATATAGCTTTTTTTTTTAAAATAATAATAACTAATAATACTACTACTAATAATAATACTGATAATAATAAAAATCATGCACATTTTTTAAAATATAAACTTATTTTATTTGTGTAATATAGTAAAGTGTGATTACCTGGGAGCCGGCTGCCCGGCCATTGGTGCTCCTGTTTGGTTCATTGCAGAGAGCTGCTCCATTGGAACGTTGTATCCCGGTACTGCTGTGCTGCCCATTGCATACTGCCCTCCAGTGGACTGGCCAGGGTACACCTGAAAATAAAACAGAGACATACCCTAATAATATATCACTACCAAAACAATCAACAACAAACAGCCATAATAGCAGTTTAAATCATATGTAGCAAACGAACAACATACACACTTTGATCATTTGTCAGACTCTCACCTGTTGGG